AAGGCTCGGTCAGGCCGTGAGTGGGTGTAAGGTGATTGGCAAGTAGTGTTCAGTGATGTGTAAATGTCTGAGACCTTGACCACTTTAGGCGACCAGCAGCGGCTGAGTTCCAGGATGCCCCACTATGCTGCATCGCTCCAGCAGGCTACACCGCTGGACCATTTCTTTCTTAATTTTCACTATTTCAGTCTATCAGCTTCATTATACTTTTAACTAACTTAAACTCGCCTAATTCCACATTCATCGTAGAATCGAACACGTGCTACCCGACACAGTAAGGACAGTAGTTCGAAATTCGACATTCAATTTCCGGATTCACTTATCACAAAATTACAAATAGGGAAGAGAGTCTCTTCCTTTTTGAAGTCGTTTGAAAATAGTGTTAACGGCTGCGTCGTGCAGTGGCTTAGCAATGAGTTGTAGCGCTGGGAGAGTCAAAATTAAAAGTACATTGGTATAGTACTAAAACTCTACAATAAACCAATACTAAACGAAAGTACAAAGGAAATTAGAAAAGTAGGCCATATTCTTTAACAATTCTTCGCAAAAGGCATAAACGTAGAATTTTAACTCGGAATTTTAAATAAATTTTTCTTTCGCATTTCAAATTACGGCTCCTATCATTCATCTCGACTGGGAGATTCGCAGCCGTAATCCACCTTAATCCCTTTAGCGCTACGAAAATTAAAATTAACCTGTGAAAGATTTCAAACTACGTCGAGTTTAATAAGCGTGGCGTCCCATTGAGTGGTAATACGCAATATTCGAATTCAGCTTAATTTTATTAAGTATTTTAACTGGTGGGATGCGGGAAGTAAAGACTATGTAAGAACCTCCGAAAGAGGCGGAGTTATAGCCAAAATAAAATTTTTAAACTTTTTGGTTTTTGGCCATTTTGAACCCCTAGGAGTGTAATGAGAATTTTTTGCCCCCATTCAACCATGACCACTATGACATATGATAGGCTATTCAAACTGACTATGCGTAAAGTTCGAGTCAACGTAGTAGAGTACTAGTCTTTACTTTCAAACAAGTATACATCATCCTAATCGGCAGTTTTACCCGCGTAACACTATATTTAATAGCTACAACCATAATATAGCTTTTATTTTAAATAGAACTAGGGTGGCAAACGAGCACACAGTCCACCTGATGGTAAGTGGTTGCTGTGGCCCATAGACATCTACATGTATCCTCGATTACGAATCAAAATTCGTTGTCACCCGTGAGGACTAAGGTGGAATGCCTCGTTTCCAATAAAAAGGGTTTCCGGTTCTCTACACTCACCATACGAAACACAGCAGCATTAAGCTATTATATTACGCTGGTATTCTGTGAGAGCGTGGTCCTTCCCCGGTCGAGGCGACCCATTCGTGCTACAACTATACTACTAACATAGCTGCAGCATGGCTCTACCACGTATAAAAACGTATGTTTAACACATTAAGATTCTCGCAGATTTATTTTAGAGTCTTGCACATTTTTAAAATTAATATCTAGGACAACGATTTTATAAGCAAACGTAATGTAAATTTAATAAATTTATTATAATTTCGGTGTTAGGTACCGGCATAAGAGAATCTACTTCCCCATATCATCCTGTGCGTGTCATAAGAGGAGACAGAGGGAAACTGAAATAGGAGATGGGTAGCAGCTTCCTGATAAGAACGCAATAATAATTAAAGAAATGGTTGGCAACCTCTGGAGAGACTATGTTCCAACTGTGGACTTTTGACGAGATAGTAAATGCATAAATGAATGAATGATTTTACCAAATTCCTAGAAATTTTACGTGCTTATCAATCAACATAATTTAATGTAAGTTCCGTGTAGTGTATCGCTACACTAAAACCGCAGGCCGTGTATTGCAACGGACTAAAACCCCGAGGGTAGCATTTCACTTATTTTTAATTAAAAGTCTTAATTCTCTTTTGAAATACCTTTGCGTCGAGGAAATGTCGTGAATGAAAATTAAGTCAAGGCATTTGAAATGACATTTGAAATTATAGAGGCAGAAAAATAAGTTCCATTGCCATTTAAAAGAAAAATTGGCAGCGGATTTACGGAGATAAAAATTAACTTTTAATAAAAGTGAAAGCCGATTCAAAGAACTAAAGAAAATAAAATTATTTCACATTCTGAAGTCGGTATTAAGATAATATATTTTTATAGTATAAGGGTGACAAACGAGCACAGTCTACCTGATGGTAAGTAGTTGCTGTGGCCCATAGACATCTACATCTATCTTAGACTACGAATCAAAACGTAGATGCACTGTCACCCGTGAGGACTATGAATAGTAAATAGTATAGAAACATTAAAGCACCGACTTTTTATTCTAACGAAGTACCCCATTCTAATTTTATCAAGAGCCGTGCTACCTCCGGGGCAAAGCGCCTGCTGTAAATTACACAGTAATATTTACCTTACTTTTAATTTCCAACGTTTCATTAGAAATAAGTAAAAAAGTACGCAATAAAATCCGTAAAATTAGTTTTGATAAATGTTGATTCGGGTTTAAATTATTATTTTTTTTATAAATAATAGGGTTGCCAAACGAGCACATATCCACCTGATAATAATGCAGATGTGTTCTGAACCATGAACACTAAGATGGAATACCTCGTTTACAGTAAAATGGGTCTTTGGTTCTCTACACTTGGCTTACGAATTATAGCAGCATTAAACTGCTACTCATGCAAGCTGCTATCAAACCGATCCATTCGCGCTGCAACCAAAACGTAGCTGCACTCTACCACGTAAATATATTCATGTTTTTTTTACGGTCTATTTTTATTGGTTGTAAGAATACGAATAGATATAACACGATGGTCTAAACATTTGTAAAAAGCGGTTTAGGGCAGATTTTCTAATCGTCTGATAAAAGTTAACAAATTAAAAATTACAGTCGTATTAATAAAATAGTTCAATTATTGTTCGACTTTTATGTTTTGTGGGTTATAATTTATTCAATGGATAACTTTTATCTGACGATAAAATAATTGGTCTTTAAAGAAATATATATGAAAAGAGATATTCGTTATCTTAGTTAATAAAATTGTAAAAACAATCGGGGTTATGTTAAATACAATCAAAAACACCGATCGAAAATTGTAGTTCAGTTATAAAGTGCAGTCCACAGAACAGCTCTCAGCTGCTTTTCACAAGGCACTCGAGCAGAGTCGAACAAATTACCCGTCGGGCCGCGCTCGGTAGAGGGCGCTTGACCCCTTTAGCGAGCTAATTGTCGCCTCGCCCTGTCGTGTGCCATCAGCTTTGCAATTACGGACGTGCGTGCTACTTTGTGCGGATGAAGAGGGTTTATGAATAACAATGAACTCAAAACGTATGAATTTATACGAATTGAAAATCTAATAATGACATCTGAGAGAAAACTATGTACGTATTTGTGACATTTTCTAAAGAGACCGTTAGACGTATGGTGACGGCGAAAAATCGTATCGAAAAGATTAAAGCAAATGGAAAACTTCTACAATGAGAGAGCCACATGTCTAGTGACAGCAAGTAACTTTTACGGGCCGACAAAGATGAAGGAATATTAAACTAAATAAAGCTTTTTTTATACTTGGGTGACAAACGAGCACACAGTTCACCTGATGGTAAGTGGTTGCCGCGGCCTATAGACATCTACATTTATCCTCAATAAAGAATCAAAATGCAGATGCGTCGTCACCCGTGAGGACTAAGATGGATTGCCTCTTTTCTAGTAAAAAGGGTCTCCGGTTTTCTACACTCACCATACGAAACACAGCAGTGTCAAGCTGCTATTTTACGCTGGCATTCTGTAAGAGCGTGGTCCTTCCCCAGTCGAGCCGACCCATTTGTGCAACAACTATACTACTAATATAGCTACAGCATGGCTCTACCACGTATATTTCACAGCAAAATGAAGCTTCAGCTTCAAGTGACTTCATGAATTTATATACATTTTTTCTTTTCATTCCTACAGCAATTCCTAATCAAAAATGTACATATGGACATAGGCTACCCCTATAGATTGCCTTATAGGGGGATCATACACCTATCCATCCATTTCATCCTATTAAAGTCCACTCCTGTACGTAGGCCTGCCTCATAGGGGGATTTTGGCATAGTTGGCACGCTTGGCAGGTGGATCAGCAACCACAGTATTTTATTATTTTGAGTTTCATCAGAAAGAGGCGGCAGTCCAGCTTCTGTTTCAGTTCCCCATATCACACCATGTGTTCTTACGAGACTGGTGATATGGGGTTCTCTTCTATCGATTTTGAAATGCCAATGACATCGACTGAACTAATAAATTTAAGGCAGGTGCTGCCCGTAAGCAACTATGGCTTTTATTTACTGTAAGTGGTCATAACCACGATGTATCTAATAAAATGTTGTGGAACATTTTCTGTTACTTAGTGATTTTTGGAGATAAGTAAATTCTTTTAAAAAATAAGTAAAAATAAAATGTTTTTTTTTTAAAATACTAGTAATGCTGTTAAACATTACTAATATTCCCTTTAACCACTTCTGGTAAGCTTAAAATGCTTGTGTTAGAAGTGGATCACGACAGTAGTCGAATGGCGGATTCGAACCCACGACCTTTCGAGTTCGCGGTCCGCGCCCTGCCATTAGGTTACTGACGCTTCAAATTCATTACTACTATAGAATATTATAAACTTCATGTAAATTTTTATAGTTTATGTTGTGTTCAACTTGAGACCTTATTCGTAGTTTTAAAATTATTAACTGTTTAGCTTCCTTTAGCTCACTCCGCGCCCCTTTTAAATCACCTATTTTATAATCTATATATTAGTGCAGTGTATTCCTAATAAGGACTAAAAATAAGAAACTATGTTTGCCCATCTGCTTGCCAAGCGTGGCAACTATGGCAAATAACCCCCTATGAGGCAATCTACGGGGAGGCCTATGTTCAGCAGTGGACTTTAATAGGCTGTAATAGAACGGTATCAATAGCTAACTTCATCTAAAATAACGAGCTGCAGACTTACCTTATCCCGGATCTCCTGGCGCATCTTCTCTCTCTCCTCCTCCATCTTGCGATGCTTCTCCTTGCGCCGCTCCTCGGCCTCGCGGATCGCTTCCTGTCGTTCGCGTTCCGCTTCTTCTTCCTTTTCCTTATCATCGCTGTCATCACCGTCACCGCCAACCGCACCTTTGACAATGAAAACGCATTTTAAAAATTAATATTCCTTATTTTCCATACAAATAACTGATAATGGTGATAATGGAGCACACAGTCCACCTGATGGTAAGTGGTTGCTGTGGCTCATAGACATCTACATCTATCCTCGATTACGAATCAAAATGCAGATGAGTTGTCACCCGTGAGGACTAAGATGGAATACCTCGTTTCCAGTAAAAAGGGTCTCCGGTTCTCTACATTCATCATACGAAATACATTAGCGTTAAGCTGCTATTTACCGCTGGTATTCTGTGAGAGCGTGGTGCTTCTCCGGTCGAGCCGACCCATTTGTGCTATAACTATACCAATAATATAGCTGCGGCGTGGCTCTACCACGTAAAAATATACACCTATAAATAAGAAAATGCAAATACAGAAACGTAGTCAGACCTGAGGCCTAAAAACACCTCGTTACAGCATTACTTAAATTAAAAATTAAAAAAAAAACTTGAAACAAAAAGAGCTGGCAATCTTCAAACGGCTGAATATTCTTGTAACATAGCGAAAAAAAATTTAATCAAAATGGGTTCATCCATTCAGGAGCTATGATTCCACAAATAGACACACAAATACACAGGTACACACTACAAAGATATAACACCCCTCTGTTATTGTCGGGGGTTAAAAATGGTCTTTTATTTTCATTACGCAACATATGAAATCACAGCAGTATTATGCTGCTAACTTACGTTGGTATACTGTGCGGGTGTGGTCCTCCCCCAGTTAAGTCGACCTATTTGTACTGCAGCCCTCACATGCTGTAATATCACATCTCACATGCTCTACCACGTATAAATGCTTCAAATATTAGCCCTTAGTTAACACGCTGAACATACAATTTTACTGACGCTGTTCACATTGTCCACGGGGTTTAAATTCCCGCTAAGAGTAAGATGTATTAGAATTTAGAAATGCCAAATCGGTTGTCTACTATCTTTGGAAAATTATCTGTATTTATTTATCGCGAGAGTTATGATCGTTATGTAAAACTGGTGGAGATGAAGTCAGAAATTTAAAAAAAAACTATTCACGTCACCTTCACACTACTACACCCTTTCCATAGTTGGAAAGATTTCTTATAATCGCTAAGCTTATAAAAAATAAAAATTGTTTATTTCGGACAACTTGAATCCATAGAAATTGTTAGTTGAGAAAAACTTACATATGTGTTAGTAATATAATTTATACTTATTTTTAATACTTAGTTATTAAGTAGGACATAGTCCTGGAGATCATATCTCTGATCAGTGGACAGTTCCCACTGTCGGCAATCTCACTCAGCACACTGTGGCCGCTGCCGCACACAGTTTAGCAACGATGCGGTCTTTTTTGGGATTATTGCATCAAAGATATCCACACCGGTCACTGCAAACATCGCAGACGCGCTACAGTAGAGCAGCATCCGCAACAGCACCCTGAATGCATTATTGTATTGAGTAAGTAGGGCACTATAGGCCTTTTTGGTGTAGTTGATCCATAGGCTGCAAAAATAAAATGACGCACAATATGCTTTGAAAAGCGTGGTCTTGACAGCGTCAATGCAGCGAGCAAATCTATGGACTAACATATTCGCCCTGACCAACAGTGCCCTACGTTCTCTTTCAGTATCCTCATCGTCTTTATGACTGTCAATCACAATATGTCCAAGATATTTAAAGCTATAGACCCTTTCTAGTGGTTAATTATAGAGCTTTATAGGGGGTACAACACTAGGACATTAACTGCCAGCCTTAAATACCATGAACAGCGACTTTTTGGTATTGTATAGTAAACCATGTGAGACAGGGAATTTTTCACAAGTACCGAGTAGAGCTCTCAGCGCACTAACTCAGCGGACACATACCTTGCCGATATGGCAGCCGACAGGCATGCTGCTGAGCTCTCAAAACAGTGCGTTCATATACAAGTTGAAGAGCCTCGGCCATATCAGGCCCCCTTGCTTCACCCCGCACTCCATCCTGTACGGCTCGGAATACTCATTCGCCCATCTCACATAGTTCACTTGATTACTATACCAATACTTAAGCAAATCGGTGTAGCTGTCAGGTAAACTTACGCCTTCCAACTTACGCCACAAGATGTCGTATGAGACAAGATCGAAAGCTTTACTCAGATCTAGGAAATAGGCGTACACTGGTGCATACAGTGGTTTTTTAGAATAGAGTTAAGCACACTGTCAAATATTTTGGCTATTGTCGTTGCCAAGGATATTGGTCTATAGTTCGATCTCTCTACGTCAACAGTACGGTTTTCTACAATGGGGACAACTGAAGTTCTCATTAAGTCGGCAGGCGAGTAGGAATGCGAAACACAAACATGAAATAATAGTGCCAAAACTGCATGCAAAATGCACACCTGCATATTTAAAGTGCTCAACAAGTAGTCAATTTATCTATTTTTAATTGATTCTGATAATTTTGGCACCATTTCAATCTACTCTTGAAAACAAGGCGGCTGTTAACCATCTCATCATAGAAAAAACCCTGCCTCGGTCGACCATACCATACCCACATCATAAATTTGGACCTGGCCTCCTTGTGTGCCTCACCGACATGCCTATTCCATCCTATTAGTACACTTTTTTAAAGTTTAGCACGTTCAGAAACAGAAACTTCTTAATTCAATATATATTATCATAAATAATACTTATTGAAAGTCACTATTATATTTAAATTACCACTGGTTCGAAAAAAAACCAGCATAAAACATCATCCAACTTTGGCTGTATTCTGTCACCGATTTATATGCATCTCTTTCTATGCCATTTGGAATAAAAAAGAGTGAAAGAACTCCTTAAAAATTTCCATAGTTAACTCTAGAGATACCCCATTGTTAACGTTAAGGTAAGATACAGAGTAATGGATTTACTTTTTACACGGTTAGTTTTATCACATCCTATACTTAACAGTCCACTGCTGAATACAGGCCTTCTCCATAGATTGTCTCATAGCGGTAATTTTGCCATAGTTGCCACGCTTGACAGGTAGGTTGGCAACCGAGGTTTTTTATTATTTTGAATAGTTAATAGGAAGATGCTGCTGCCTATCACCTCTTAGGACACCCACGGGACGTTATGGGTAGTGACTATTCTTATATCGCCACTGCACGGTTGGTTAAATATCTTATTTATTCTATGCGGAATCTACGCCACGTGAGGAGAGGATCGTGAAAACATGAATATTTAAAATCAGCTTTAAATATTGCTCGCGTCGCTTGGTTAAAGTAAAGAGGTCAACACAAGCAGTGCAAAAATAACGAGCGTCGAACCGACCGGCTTCTACAGTGTTTGAAAAAACATATCGGTTGAAAAACTTGATGAGATGATATCTGCAAGCATGTTCTAGTTTAAGATAGATAATTTTTTACATAGATAAATTTTTCTACGTGGTAGAGCCATGTTATAACAGGAATGGGTCGCCTCGACCGGGCAAGGACCACGCTCTCACAGTATACCAGCGTAGAATAGCAGTTTAATGCTGCTATGTTTCGTACGGTGAGTGTAGAGAACCGGAAACCCTTGTTACTGGATACGAGGCATTCCATCTTAGTCCTCAGGGGTGATAACGCATCTGCATATTAATTCTTAATTGAGGATAAATGTCGATGTATATGGGCCACAGTATCCACTTACCACGTGGAATGTGTGCTCGTTTGTTACACTTTTCTATAAAAAAAACCCATAAAATATCAAGTTCAAGCAATATTTAATGAATCTAAAAGCAAACGGTGGTAGCCCAGGGACCAGGCCCTGGCCGTTAACATCTCAAAATACAATCGAAAACTGAGTTTTAACACCTCCGGCAACAAATCCGTCTTTAAAATAAAGCCGTTTAACCGCATGTACTCGCGTTTTCGCTTAAAACTTTTAAATTACTTGATAGATTTTGAACCTTTTCACTTTAATTTAAAGCATTTTTTTGTTTTATTATCGCCTTTAAATTTTAACGTTTTTAATTTCCGACCTAAAAGGCGATAAAATCCGTAAAATTAATTTTATTCCATGTATAGTATTCGCGTAAATTAAATAATTTCATCATACCTCAATAATGTTATAAATTTAAAAGAGGCATTATTTCAATTAAGGAAAGCTTACGCGGCAGTAACCACAGTACCGCACTCATTTAAACGTCGAAATTAGATAACAGTGTAGCACTCGCGTAACCGCATTGTATTGTATCGCTCCGAACTGCCTCAAACCGGATTCATCCGGTCGAGTGGCCGATCCAATATGGCGGCGCGTTATTCAAAAATCCATTACACGTCAATCTGAGCATTTGTCACGTCGACCGCATTTCTTTCTAGTGGAATGTGGACCTCTGTTTTATTCGCTTTTAAAATGAAAAGCGTTTTTCCTGTTTACATCGTCGTACACAGTTTGATAAAAATATTTAGATATAATATAGAGGTTTTGTTGCGAACATCATTATCATCATCGCCATCTATAAATCCTAATGATTTCTTATATTTACGCAAAGACTACACATTAGATGAAACTATTTTTTACGGAATTGATCACGTTTAAGTTAATTTTTTAATTCCCGACGTTTTGGATGCTTTACAGCACCCATGGTGACGGGGGTACTGAGGTGTTTGACGTCCCGATGTCATAGTTAAGTAGTTAAGCCCGACTACCTTCAGTTTTTGAATATTAATTTTAGGTCCGATCTACGCAGAATGAGCTTACAGTATCTTGAACTCTTGCAGTGGTATGTTTGGGTTTGGATTTAGTTTTATTTATTATAGGATCCCAAGCAGTTGGCAGCATCCATCCATCTTCTCTATTGAAATAAGAATGTTTTTTTTTTTATTTTAATAGCCTCGCGAACCATCCTTGGTAGGAGTCGGTGTTCTTTTCCGAGGATTTGTGGTCTATCAAATCTAATGTGACGATAATGGCGGGGACGATCTTGAACATGTTCACATACTGCAGATTTCTCGGAACGTCGTTGCTTCAAGTCAGCTATAATAGG